TGGTATCGCTTCTCTGGTGCTGCTGGATCCGCTTTACCAACCACTTGTGTTGCTAAGAACCACTGTGGTACCCATGCTACAGGATGGATGCAAGGTGTTCATCCCACTCAAGAACAGGGGATCGTTACACGAAGAGTCTGTTATCACTGGAGCAACAACTGTTGTCACTGGAAAAACAACATTCGCGTAAAGAACTGTGGTGGATTCTACGTGTACGAGCTGGATAAACCACCACACTGTCATCTGAGATACTGTGGCAGCGCTGGACCAGGTATTAAAGTTACCTATATAGAAAAATAATAGGTTTTTTTGCCGTGAAATACCTGTTGCTGTTTGATGTGTCGGCAAGTTCAATCTGATTGAATTCAATCCAATTTACTCTTCTCAATTGTCTTTAATGATAGGCTAACATGGGAATACAAAAGAAATACCACAAACTCTATCGAGAAAAGGGTGATTTTTTTAGTATTGCATGATTCTCTAGAAGTGTCTATTGCAGCGAGCAATGTAATTTTTTTGCACTAAAAATACCTGGATTTGAGTTTCAATTGTCTTCATGAGAGACACTTATCTCATTGATACATTAACTCGGGAGCTGATTTTAATGCATTCTTATCCTGATTACTTTTTTTTTTATTATTAATGTTTTAGCACCTACAGTTCAACCTCCAGTTCCACAAGGTATGACGTAATGTCTTTCATACATACGGACCCCAATTTCTAGAGCCCAAGCATGCACATTTGATAAAGAGAACGATTCAGCCATATACTATATAAGCTGTAGGAATTTGTAGATAAATTGGATCACCGTAAAAAGCTTTGTGAAACTGACGTTTCGGACGTTAGTCCCTCTGTCGGAGTAAGTGACTTACTCCGACGAAGGACTAACATCCGAAACGTCAGTTTCACAAAGCTATTTAAGGTGATGCAATTTATCTACAAGTTCCTACTGTTTTATTCAGAAACACCGACGCAGTCCACGCTAGTTCTACTAGTTATCACTACTATACAAGCTGTTCACTTGTCATTTTCTGTTTCTTGTTTGTCATTTTGTTGGCTTTTTTTGTTAGTTTTGTGTTGTTGTTATTGTTGTTTTGTGTGTTCATTAGTTTTAGTTCTTGTAACATTCCGACAGTATATAACAAACTGGCCTTTTATGTTCGTTGTAATAATTCGTTCCTTTTATTACAACAGAATGTAGAAGCTACGCGGTACTCAAAGAGGGTGACCGGGCACAAGGATTCATTTCCAAACATGTACTAAAATGTGATAAAGACCGTTTTACCAAGAAATGGTATCGTTTTAGCGGCGCTGCTGGCTCAGCCATGGCTTCGTCTTGCGTGTCCAAAAATCGCTGTGGTACCCATGCTTCTGGATGGATGGAAGGATCGCATCCTTCTCAAGCAGAAGGAATCGTAAGCCGAAGGGTTTGCTTTTCGTGGAGCGGCAAATGCTGCCACTGGAATACCAACATACGAGTCAGGAACTGTGGAGCATTTTATGTGTATGAACTTGATAAGACACCTTTCTGCCATTTGCGTTATTGTGGCAATGGTGGACCAGGTTTGTAGACAGATTATATTCGTATAATTTATAATTAATCATAACACAATTGAGTTTCATATTCCTGTAGACTACTAACAAAGTGTCCCAAAGCTAAGGGTGAAGTTAAACAACTCAAGTATTGAAATCAGTTTTGAAATCGCAAAGCTTTTAAACTGATACGAGTTTAAGACCTACAGCATTTATAATCCCCCCCCCCAAAAAAAAGCTTTAACTTTCGGCACCAAGAATGAATTAATTCATGCGGGATTCCTGTAGATTTGGCGGGGAAATGTTCCTTTCCCCCAATATGATGGAGACCTCGCTACGCCCCTCATCATGAATATATGTATAAAAATTGAAAAAAGTATACATATGCTATTGTTTCCTTGAATAAAATAATGCTTTCCCATTTCAGCACCAACAACAGCTCCACCAATTCCTACAACAGGTGAGCACTTTAGATAAGATTCTTTAATTTCTGGTTTTGTTGGTTCGATTTGTTGTCGTTTTTTGTTTGTTTGTATGTTTTTTATTTGCATTATTTGTTGCTTTTGTTGTTTTTTGGCTTTGATGCTTTCGCAGTCAGACATTATACGGATTATACGGATAAAACGCGTAGATTTTTTAAAAACATGACGTTCCGGCTATAACTAGTGATGGCCTTCATGAAAATGATGATGAAAATGTGTGAAGCGCCTTAGCTCTACCTGGACCAGACTCATTAAGAAAGAACACTAGTCAGTGACGTTGGCCGTCTTTGCCATGACAACCCGACCAGAGAACAATAGACATGTCACTCTTTTATTGCTTCATTTCCCATTGCCTCTTCCCACGCTTTGTCTACATATACGCGTTTCACACATTTTCATTATCATTCTGATGAAGTTATAGCCGAGGCGAAATGTTCTTAAAAAGTCTACGCGTTTTATCCGTAATCTTATAAATTTAATTGTTTGTTTTTAATTTTATATTCATCCTTGATTACAATGAACCTTTTCATCTTTCCCAGTTCCAAACCCTTGTCTCGCTAATCCTTGCAAAAATGGCGGGAATTGCGTTCAGAATGGAAATGGCTACACCTGCAAGTGTGTTCAGGGATACACGGGGAAAAATTGCGATCAAGGTAAACTTTCTATGTTTATTTACCCTTCTGGATATAATGGATAATCCTTAGTGATTTCAGCGACTAGATAATAAGATGGAAGAGCTCAATGAACTAAAGTAGTACTAAATGGCATATCGATGGCGGTGTAGTGGTAGTGCACTCGTCTCTCATCTCCAGTGTGGTATCGATTCCTTGATTCGGTATCACATGTTTTACCCGGGTTTCCGGGTTTTCTCAATATACAGCAGTGGTTAAATTCCAATTTGATCTGAGAGTTAGCCTTTTCCTCTCAGTCCTCTCGGTAGGTCTGTGAGTTAGTTGTGTCCTGCCTTAGATCAGCCCAGAAGTTGTTTCAGGGTATCCATAAATTGAAAAAGTTAAATCTTAAATTCCTCCTGGTTGGGTCATTTCGTGGAGCATTGTACGTGTGTGGGAGGTCCTAAAACAACTGAAGATAAAGTGCTCGCTTTGTAATTGCCTGTATATATTTTTTCTATCTAGTGGCTCGGATGACTCCGGCTTTAAATGACTGTCCCGTCTTTTTGCACTTTCTATCATCATCACTAACTAGTATCGGGGGGACGTCAAATAACCACTAAGGACGTAAATAGATCCTTACCGTGATCAACTTTGCTTTAAACAGATGTCAATGAATGTTTAAAAAGTCCATGCAGAAATGGTGCAACGTGCACCAACACCAATGGCGGATACAGATGTCAATGCACTTCTGCTTTTAAAGGAAAGAATTGTGATATAGGTAAGTATTACATAACTACTAGATATAAACAGCGCATTCCAAGGCTATACACGAGATGAATTAATTGTAAAAGGTCAAAAGTGGTTTTGTCTCTATATTAACATTGAGCAAGAGGACAATAATAACTACCAGTTTATGCTTTCAAATGTTCTGTAAAGAACGAAATTTAGAAGATTGACGTTTTTAAATGACGTACGGGAAGCACGGGTAGCGTAGCAGTCAGAGCGCTCGCCTATCATCAATGCGACACGAGTTCGAGTCCCGGGGCCGGGTTCGGTGGTGTTGTACGTGAGCAGAGTTTCTAGTTGGTTCTCTCCTGTGCTTCGAGGATTTGTCTCCGGTTTCTCCGGTTTTCCTCCCTCCGCAAAATCAACTCCTAAATTTCCAATTTGATCACGGAACTATGGCCACAGGTTTATTAGTGCTATTAAGTGCTATCCTTGTGAAAAAGGACGTTTTTTTTACATGTAATGTTCAATTCTTCTAGATGTTGATGAATGCCGCAGAATGCCTTGTCAAAATGGTGGATCTTGCCAAAATAGGCCAGGAAGCTACTTCTGCTTTTGTCCTGTGGGATTCATTGGAAAAAATTGCGAAACAGGTTTAATTCTTACTACTTAAAATGTTTAAATATTTAAAATAAATAACAACAAATGATGTAATATTTAAAAATAATGTATGGAATTAGAAGAAATAATAATTGCAGTACTGAAATAATTTGGTTATTAAACATATTGTCCCAACTGTGGTCGGTACATCATATAAATCTAGGTTTTTATCTATGCTTTTTTTTTAACCACTTAAGCACACGTTTACTACTTATATTATTAATGATGATGATGAGGATATTTATAAATATACCACATCAAAATGTGATTTCTATTTATTCAGACATAAACGAATGTTCAAGAAACCCATGTCAAAATGGTGGTTCCTGTAAGAACACCAATGGAGGTTACTCGTGTTCCTGTAGATCAGGATATCAAGGAAAGAACTGCGAACAAGGTAGTCAACGTGCTTTTAAAAAACATGTATAAAATAAAAATAAAAAACTAATATTGAGGTGACATCTCACTATTTTCAGATGTGAATGAATGTCTGAAAAGACCTTGTCAAAATGGCGGTTCCTGTAGGAATACCAAAGGAAGCTACGCGTGCTCCTGTAGAATGGGATATCAAGGAAAGAACTGTGAACAAGGTACGTAGTCAATGGTTATTATAAAAAGGAAATAGATACTAATTTTGAGTTGATTGATATCTTACTCTTTTCAGATGTGAATGAATGTCTGAAAAGACCTTGTCAAAATGGCGGTTCCTGTAGGAATACCAAAGGAAGCTACACGTGCTCCTGTAGAACGGGATATCACGGAAAGAACTGTGAACGAGGTACAGTCAACGGACTTTTAAAAACATGTATAAAAATAATAACAAAATACTAATATTGGGGTGATATCTAACACTTTTCAGATGTGAATGAATGTCTGAAAAACCCCTGCCAAAATGGCGGTTCCTGTAAGAATACCAATGGCGGTTACACGTGCACCTGTAGACCAGAATACCAGGGAAAGAACTGTGAACTAGGTACAGTTAACAGACTTTTAAAAACATATATAGAAATAAAAATAACATACTAATATTGAGGTGACATCTCACTATTTTCAGATGTTAATGAATGTCTGAAAAACCCCTGTCAAAATGGTGGTTCTTGTAAAAATACCAATGGTGGTTACACATGCACCTGTAGACCAGAATACCAGGGAAAGAACTGTGAACTAGGTAAACAAATTGCTTTTTTAAACGTATACAAGGAAAGAAAATATTAATTGTGTTACACTATGTTACACTTTTCAGATGTGAATGAATGTCTGAAAAACCCCTGTCAAAATCGTGGTTCCTGTAAAAATACCAATGGAGGTTACACATGCACCTGTAGAACTGGATACCAGGGAAAGAACTGTGAACAAGGTAGCCAACAGTGTCTTATTATTAATTTCTTAAGTGTTGGTAAAAAATTACTAAAGTAAAGGGCTTTTTAATATAACTGCAAACCAGGGAACCAACCGTGTGTATGTTTTTGAAAACGTAATTGATTTTTAAAAACATTCCATTGTTATGTAGTTTTCGCATTAAACTTTTTTTTTTCCAGATGTGGATGAATGTGTTAAAAGCCCATGTCGAAATGGTGGCTCCTGCCTCAATAAACCTGGTAGCTACTCTTGCGAATGTAGGCCAGGATTTCAAGGAAAGAACTGCGAAAAAGGCAATTAGAACATTATTATTTCTTTATTTTCGTTAGTTTACAATTGCTCATTATCCATCTCTGATATATCTAGGCCCCTTCTCACAATTATTGTGAAAACAGAAAAGAAATTTCGATGGCAGTTGTGACATTTCATTTGTATTTCTGTGATAGCCTCGCATCCAAGATAATTTTGAGAAAGGCTCATTTTCCAAACTTTTTTTTCCAGATATCGATGAGTGTCTCAGAAATCCGTGTCAAAACGGTGGCACCTGTAGCAATACAAATGGTAGCTACAAATGTACCTGTACTATCGGTTTCGAAGGAAAAGACTGTGAGAAAGGCAAGTTAACATATGTATAGTTATCAGTTATTCCACGAAGCGTTGTGGACGTGTTGTCTATAATCTCAAGCACGACGAGAGTGAGTGGAAAAATGTTTTTCATTATATGGACAATCACTGAATCGCTTCCAAAAAAGCATGTCGATAGCTGCACGAATGGAATTCAACCATGTTGTGGTTTCGTAAAGTAGAAATTTCTATATAAAAATATTTCTTAAAAGATAGACTTTCTTTCCAACAAATACTTTTAAGCCATTATTGGCCAGTCCATCGGTGCGTTTTATTTTTTATTGGGGGGGGGGGGGGGGGGTTCTCGGGCTTTGTAGTGGAAATCCATCAGAAAACATTTTGAATTTTCTCTACTAATGGTACATGTGAGCTGATAGCCTAGTAGTACAGTAGCCAATCAAAGCGCGCTATTGCTCATATCCAGTCGTTATTTATATAATAAGCGAAATTATATGATACATATCAATAGTTTGTGAATTCCTTCTTCAGATGTTAATGAGTGTCTCAAAGATCCTTGTCAAAATGGTGGTACTTGTAGCAACACTAACGGTGGATACAGCTGCGCCTGTGTTAATGGTTTCCGAGGAGTTCACTGCGAAGATGGTATTCTAGATTTTAATATTTTCAAACGTTTAAAAAAAAAACGTTTCAAAAGTATGCATAGTACTAGGGGTGGTTTACGATGCCAAGGTATCGTTCTCTCGCCAAAGTATGTCAGTAAATAGAGGTCGTGTTTATAGAAAATTCGAGAGTTATGGAGGATACATGGCCCTGAAGGCTTCTGACTTTAAATCCTACAGTGTATGGATAAAAATATTATTATTATTATTATAAATCGTTAGAAAGAGGGGCATTTCATAACACAATAAACAGTCTAGCACTAACTATATATGAATTGTACCCTTAGATATAGATGAGTGCATTTCTGGTAACCCCTGCAACAATGGAGCAACATGTACAAACAAAGTTGGAGGATACACTTGTGCCTGTATGGCTGGATTTACTGGAAAAGATTGTGATCAGGGTAATGCTATAAAAATAGAATAAAAGGTGTTGATAAGGGACCGTTCATTTGCTATCGGGGATAAAGAGAGTAGGCTAACCAAAAACAAAAAATCTCAATCACACAGTACTGGTATTAGGATACGAAAAATAACAATTTGCTCAAAAAAATTTGGTTTTGAAATTTCGTAACTTTAAACTTTTGTCTTTCATATGTTAGTGAAACTTCTTGCAATTTTTGATTGGAAAAGCCAAAAAATTGAGACAAATCGAAATGGTGTCTTTATCAAGGCCGGAAATGTCCCGTCGCTTGCAATAAGGTTGAGTCAAAATGCTCCTTTGTCCTTGTAAAAAGATCCTACATTTCGATCGTCCAGAGATATAAAACAGATATCAAAAATCTGGGACACCCTTTTTGAGCTTAAAATGTACGTGTCCGTTAACGTTTTCATTGAGGCATGGTTAAATTTCGCCTCGAGGACAATAATGTGAACAACAATTAAAAAAATCGTATTTTGAAGATTTCTTCATAAACTATGTTTACTCAGCTTTCAGAAAATGTATACTTTGTTTGTGTTATACTATAAAGCCAGCGCGTTATTGCAGTCAGTTTGCGCTCATAGTGGTCGTAAACGTATCCTAATACCTTAAAATAAACAGAATGGAAAACAAGGAATGGGTCATGTTTATGTAACAACGGGTAGGGGGTTACATTTCCAATATTTTTTATCAAACGAAACCAATCCTCCCTTTTTAATGAAAAATGGCAATTCCCTAATCCAAATACCCCACTAAAACCATTTCTTGTACTATCCTACTGATATAGTCCTTATTCAAGGACAAAAGCTCCGGGTAGTTATCTTTCTTTCTTTTATATATATATATATATATATATATATATATATATATATATATAACCCTAACCCTAACCCTAAAACTTTGACACTTTAACGATATATATACATATATGTGTATCCCCCTTTTTTCTATTGTCTTACCTGGATTTTCAAGGAAAGACAATAGGAAAAAGGGGATACATATATATGTATATATGTCGCTAAATTGTCAAAGTTTTAGCGATTTGGTGTATATATATATATATTATTTTATTGTAAAGAGTTTAAAGTTTTAAACCGTTTTCTAAATCTCACTATCTGTACAGATCATCATGACTTTACGTATTTTACATCTCGTATTTAGAGTACAAAACTGAACATTGTCTAGTTTCAAATACATGGAAGAAGTGCTTCTTCAGAAAAGCTGTAATAAAGAATATCAATTCAGCTTCATCTTTACTTTTACTCATCAATTACGAGGAAACCCTTTTTTTCTTTCAGATGTCAACGAGTGTGCTATCAATCCATGTCAAAATGGTGGTAAATGTATTAATACACCAGGAAGCTACAACTGTCATTGTCTAGATGAGTTTACCGGCAAACATTGCGAATCAGGTAGGACATCATGATCATGGGACTTAATAATGGCGAAGAATAAGGAAGTAATAGAAACGTACTAGAAATGTACTAGACGGTCGTAAGAGATTATGTGTTTTGTTTATTATTATTATTATTATTAATAT